CGTGACCTGGAAGTGATCCCTGTGCTGGGTGTTTGAAAGCCCTGCTTGAAAGTTCATTTGACCCAGGATTGAATAATGACCAATATTCAAAGCGGTCATAAAGTGTAGGTGGATTTTCAGACGGGGCTGGAGTGGTGGACAGACGTGTTCGTGCTGTGGTAAAGTGCAGTACTGCAGCGGCAGCATTCCAGAAAATAGATTTCATATCATGGAGAGTTAAACATGGGAGGTGAGGGGGGGCAGAATTACAGTTGTTGGGGCAACAGTTGTAAGCTCTTGGTATCAGCAAACCACAAAATCCAATTATCTTATTCATACATGGCACACTGACCGTTGACCTAACATTCAAATGGTCGACTGCAGCAGAATTCACGCTCGGCGTGAGAAATTGTTTTTCCTTCTGCCGAACGCTTATCTCAGAGTGTAGCTCTATTTTCTAAGAGCTCTGCTTTTTGTCCTACATAAGTCATCAGAACTACAACTCCCAAGGAGGATAGAGATCAGATAGGGGGGTCTGGCTTCAAGGACAGGGAACCCATTTAAAGGTGACATTTCAGTCAACGCAGCAGGTGCTGCCAATCTATCTTTCCTCAGCTCTATCTCCGGCCCTCGCTTTACATGCCTATCTCTCCCCGCCTCTATCTTGCTTTCTCTTTCAGGTTTCTTTCGCTCCTCTCTGTCTCTGTCATTTCTCAACCACACACGCCACACACACACACACACGCAGAAACCCCATGCCACCCCCCCTCCCTCCACCCGCTCCTACAGTGTGACGTGCTGACGAGGCAGCAGGGAGGAAGCGGTCTAATAAAAGGAAGCACTAATGAAAGGTCGCGCGGGGTCAACATACCCACATACCTTTGCCAGACAAGGGTAGGAGAGGTCATTTATTCCAAGGGGACAAACTGTTTCACTTTTTGACTGAGGAGTGTCAAAAGTTCAAAAGGTTGCAATAAAGGCCAAAAGGTCGTGGCCTTTCGGGCTGGTTTTCAATGCATCCTGAGGTCAGAGGTCAGCAACAGGAATGCAGGGCAAAGGGGAGGAGAGCAGGCAGGGTCGAAGATGTCATCTCCATCCCCCGTGTGCATGAACACGTCTGTATGAATGAGAATGGAACCTTCCCTCAGACGGGAGGTCAACACTTCCTGAGGCAGCAGCAGCAGCAGCAGCAGCAGCAGCAGCAGCAGGTTCAGGCTGGAGCTGAGAGTGTGACTGCACACAGTGGAGGGTACTGTATATAATGGGAGTGAATGAATCATGTTATATTCAGACTGTCACCAGAAGAATTACTGTGTTTAATTAAAACTTTTTAAAGAGAACTGTTGCTGCACTGGAGGAAATTTATTCAACTAATGTAAAATCCCCCGACAGTCGTTGTTCTGAGACACTGAGCTCAGTGTCAGTGTTCCCACCTCCTCTGTTACAGACGGAGGTCGGGGGTCGGGGAGGGGGGGGTTCAATTATTTAAATAAACACACACTTTAATGCATGCATGTCTTTCACACCCTTACATTTACAGTACAAAAGTCAACTGAAAAGAAAAAAAAAAGCTCAGGACCACTGCATTTGTAGGAGCGACACTGCCATCTACAGGTGCCACGTCGAACAGCTGCGGTCATGTCAGCTGCAGCTGCCATAGCTATTACTTTGAGATATTAAATCTTCGAAAGTATTCAGTTGAAATATGACATAACACGGAGAGAGACGTTGTTAAAATTAGAGATTAACATGACAGGTTTCTGTAATCTGGAAACATACAGTCATCTTTAGTTTAAATACAGTTGAATTTTAACATCCTGAGCTTGTGTTCTTCATTATGTATTATTATAACTAATGATTATCTACATGGCTCGACATATGGCATTTCACAGGGTCAGGAGTCCAGCCCAGCCTCTAACCTTTAACCACCTGTACACCTTTGACACACATCACATTTATTATCACTCCTATAACAGTTAATGTGATGAGACTAGTTCCTAGTGGGGGTCATCGTGGGTCTCTTTTGTCATTTCCGTTCATTTTCTGGGCCAGAGTAGAGCAGAGACACCACAGCATAAAGAAAACAGTTTGTAAAAAACCCACAGAGGCCACAGCGCACCCTGGGGGATATTCTGGAGGTTGACACACTTTGGCTTCGGCTGTAGAGACAGCTCACTTGGGCCAAGTGAGGTGCAGCGACTGAATCAACAGTTCTCTGTTTATTAGAAATAAAACTGAGCCTGAAAGAGGTTTAAAGGACTGTAGTGAAACTAAAGCCTCCTCTGCTCTGCTCTGCTCTGTTCTCCTGCATCACCTCTGACTGTGGCTGAGGATCCATGGTTGAAGTCACAATACAGCAATGGCAACAACTTAATACTTAATAAATTTGCAGACATTAAATTTTAAATACGCCGTAGTATTCACTCCGTGGGGAAGAGTTTCTAAACTTTTTTGCAGCGCTGTCCGTTTGTGGAGAGAACTGAAGCTCAGAGACACAATCACAGCTGTAGCTTTAAATCTCCACTGACTTTTAAGAAAAAAATAAAATTCCTAAAATCTGATTTTTCTTACTTTGCACGTTGCATGTGTGATTTTTGATTTGTGTGCTGCAAAAGCTCCACGTGTCCCTGGAGAGTGCAGCCACCCACCCGTTTGGGAACCAATGACTTAGGGGATTATTAAGTCAGATGAGCACGGTTAAAAAGCATGGATTTATTGCTGTTATGCCAATTACTCACTAGTCCAGAGATGGTGCTGGTAAAATGAACAGCTTTCAGATTTGACTATAAAAAATAAAAAAAACTTAGCAACTTAGCACTTTGCAAAGGGACTAAAGGAAATGTTATTACCTGTATGTAGTAGTGAAACAGTGCACCAAATCAACATTGGTGCAGTATACATCAGCGGTCACAAACTCATTTTGGTAGGGGCAAGTCCACGTTTTTCGCCGTTGTTTTAATGCAAAGAAGTACAAGTGTATTCAATATTTATAAGAATAATATCCTGAACATAAAGTGCTTGTATATTTTTTTATTTTCTAAATTCATCAAGCACCTTAGTAGGGAACTTTGGCCCACGGGCCGTATGTTTGACATCAACACATGGTGCTGTCTGTATCAACCTGACAGTGTCTAAGCTACTGTAGGCCAGTGTGGCAAATGCATATGTACATACATATATATCTACATATATATATATATATATATATATATACATATACATATATATACAGTATATAGCTCATCTTTGTTAGAGAGTATATTTTTTATGAGTTGCATTTTCAATTCATATTGCCAAGAAAATAGCGTCCTAATTCTCTGACCTAATTCTGCAGTAAAGCAGCGGAGACGAGATGAAAGGACCTCTTTATCTCTGGATGAACAAAGGCAGCAGGACAGGAGAAGGTGGAGACGAATGTACTGGAGAGGAGTGGAGGGAACAGGCGGTGGAGGGTTTTGAAGCACAGATTAACACTGGTGCTTGACATCAGTGATAATTGTAATAATGTTATTCTGAGAAGCCTTTTGGCTGGGAGCGCCGCCTGTAAGGGAGACGAGCCGACACCCGAGGATTTAAAGTGATGTTTATCCTCCGCACAGACCAGGAGAAATGACTGTAATAAGAGGTTTATGTTTGGAGATTTATGGGATTTGTCAGAGCCAAACGCAGATATTTGCTCAAGCATCTCCACTCTGGGAGCAGGTGAACGTCTGCAGCCGCCCTGAGGGGACCTCCCCCCCCGACCCCCCACTGAGATGGACCCCATCGTAGTCATAGTGCAGAAGAAGACCTGTGCAGCCGGGAGTTTTTTTATTTACACTGTTTATCCATATTTCAACATTAGTAAAATGGTTTAATAATTATTAAAATTACTGTAAGAATTTTCTTTTTCAACTATTAAAGCTCATTGAATCTGAAACAGATGTGAATTTCTGCTCCTAAATTGAAATGATGACTGACTCACAGTGGACACAAATATTTAATTTATGAGATTTCTTTTTTTTTTAGATTTACTTTACTGATGATGACTGGTCTGTGCTAACAATGTCACTGTGGGACATCCTGTTGTTGTTGTGGTGTTGTTGACATGGCTCAATGCAGGACATTGAACTCCATACAACCTACAGTGCGTAAGAGGAGACGACTATATGTGTAATCTATTGATTTTTGACATCATTCATGAGCAGCTCTGACTACACTCATCCTGTTAACAGATTCACAGTCAACCAAACTAATTAGAATCCCTCAGAATGTGATGACGACGACATGTGAGGCAATCTTTTTTTTTTTTAAATCTGCGCCTGAATCTGGATCAATGTGAATCTTCTTGGTCTTATTACGATGAAATCCAATACCGTGATTAATGAGCAAAGACACCTTGACGACGCTGCTGAGTTGAGGTGATGAATGACAACTTTGCCCTTGGATGCAGTTCATTACAGTAATAATGTTTTATAGTTGTTTATCTATATCTACTGTAGTTATTAATCCTGCAGATAGATGGCCACGGTAAACAAATTTGAGTGAATTTACTACGACAGTGCCACGTCTGCACTTCCTGTACGAAAGAGACGGAGACAGAACAGAACAGAACGGTACGGAACGCAACTGAACATGATGATTGAAGAAAATAGAATAAATAATAATTCATTAATTAACCTGTGTTTATAGAGGAGACGACGACAGAACAGGACAGTGTCGCTTCTATGTCGTCTCTGTGGTGCAGTTATCACACCTGCCTTACACATCTGCCTTACACGCAGAGGGTCCTGGGTTCAAGCCCCAGAGGAACCACGTGGTTAATGGCGCCACCTGTGTGGCAGCCTGTGAGTTGTGAGACTGCATTTTAATGAATCGATTAATTAATTATGAAATATAATTGAACACATCAAATAAATAATAATCATTAATGTGCACTAATAGAAGATGGAGACAGAACACTGTCAAATACAATTAACACATCTATATAAATGATCATTAAATTATTATATAATTATGATACATAATAAACATTTGCGACCCATCACTATGCAATGTTCAACCGAAGGTAAAACAATTGAGTAAACTTGTTTTTAAAAACAGCACACCTAGACTCCCGTTATGACAGGGTGGAGTTTGACTGGTTGTACGTGTGTTTGATGTAAAACATGATGACATTAAAATGTATGAAATCTATTATTTTTAATCAGCTCAAAGTTGGCAGTCACAGTCTTCAGGCCAGAGGGAAACCGGTTCAGTCCAATTCCGATGTGCGTTCAGATAAACAGCAGCTTATGCAATGAAGCCAACACTACTTCACAGCTACGTCTCCGTCTCCACGTATTGCAACATATCTCCACATATGGTTGGCTGTAATTGCTTAAGAAAATGCATCCCATCGTTTTGACAGCTGCTCCTACAGCACGCTGTCTCACAGTCCATTCCCTTATCATCCAAATCAGTTCCATATGTCCCAGAACTGTTGAAAATGAGCTGCCAGGACCAATTATGTCCTCTCTGCAGGTGGAATATTTAAATAGTTTCAACATCCTCTTCATAAAAACACTCAAACTTTTTCATGAACAAAATGATGCAACACTTCGAGGGTTTGCAAAGAATTCAGGCGGCAATAGATTTGAGTAAAAACCCTTTAGCGTTAGTGGTATTAAAAAAGACTATATAACAATGTTTTAATTCTCAAGTTCCCACAAATATGTAAGCTAAGTCAATGACAGCTGCTGAGCTGGGCACGGTCCAGAGAGTGAGAAAGTTCAGCTCACTGCAGAACAGCACTGATTGCCGGGTATTGATTACTCATGTCTGATTGACGTACTGTTCACGCTGAGTAATTAAAAATCTGTAACGGCCAAAGGCTTGGATTAGAAGCATTGTCAACCTGCCCCTGGTTCGACCATTTTAATTGACTGTGTATTGTGAACGGGCAGTGATGATTGATCACTGATGATTACTGACGGTGGACCAGGGTACGGGGCTTCAAACAGAGTCAGAAGGATGAATCTATCGTTAAGCAAGATAAAGGGGTTACATAGGCCCTAATGTTAATTACTATCATTAGTACTGCATCTCCTCTAGGTAGTAGTAATGTTGACAATCATTTATTTAAAAAAGTGTTGTTAAGGTTTAAACCAGACATGGGCAAACAAAGCCCGTGGGCCAGATGCAGCCCGTTCAGTTTAGGACAATTGTGGCCCGCGAGTCAAAAAGTGTAGCCAACATCTGCTGCTGTGATAGACTCAGCCACATGGGCTCCACATCTGTCTCCCTTTGAAAATGACTACAACGTCATGGAGAAAAGACTCAGACAACGGTAACCACAAACCAGTGCGAAAGGAACGGTTAACTTTACAGTAGTTAAAGGTAAATAACTAGAAAAAAAATCTTAGATTTTGCCTTTAACCCAAATTAAGGATGGTAGGAAACTTCTCTGGACATGAGGCTGGTCTACATCCTGTCCACGTTACGCTGACCTACCTGGTGCATTGGCCCAGGTGCTCAAGTTGTTCCGTTGTCACAGGACAGTGAAACTGCAGAGAGGGCAGAATCCATCACCAACAGGAACAGGCTGCTGAGCTAACACAGTCTGGTTCATCTAAAAGACAGGACATCAGAGCGGGTCCTGGAAAAGGAAAGAGCGTGTCAGAGAATCACGGTGCGATGCTGTGGGTGATGACACTCACACTGTCAGAGATGCCACACTCTGTCCTGATAATCCAAAAATAATCTCTGCTCGTCTTAAGATTTCTTGGCAGATGTGCTGGATAGAAACGCTGTTCTCACCTACACTGGCCTGGGGAGGAGAACAGAAGAGTTGTCTGCTTCAAAACTCTGCACCAGACCAAAGACATGGGGAAGGCAAAGAGGGGGGCACTGTGGGACAGAAGAGTTAAAAATGATCTGGCAGACCATGTGTGTGTGTGTGTGTGTTTGTGTGTGTGTGTTTGACCATTTAACCTCAAACAATTGGAACCATCTCCACAAGTCATCAGCTCCAGCACAGATCTGGAGCTGATGAAGAAGTAGACAGCAGTCAGTGAAAATATTACTTTTACACCTAACACAGAAAAGGTGTCATCAAAACACATTTACTACTAGAAACTAAAAAACAAAAGGTGAAACCTAGTTATTCTTGAGGAGAACTGCGCACAGAAATACCAAGTCTGAGGCTTTTACTTTGGAAAAAGTCATGTTTGAGGTCACAGTTTTAACCATCACTGCTGAAACTGTGCAGATGAGTGTAATAGTTTTTTTGTTGATGGGATACAAATACTAACATATAAGAAAAAAATACTCACTTAATTCTAAAGCCTCAACTTTCCTCAGTGTTCATGGTGGAGCCTGATCTCAGACCTGCACCGTCATTAAACCGTGCCTCACAGGCCGTGACTTTTTTTAAATCACACAGCAGGGATCTTAACGAAACGTTCTGACAATCTGAACAATAACCCTAACGTCTTTATAATATGCGGTATTTTGAACAGCTTTTATTAAGTTCCAAAGCACAGTTTCATTTTCAGCCTGGGTTGGCACCTCCAATGCCTCATGAAGCACTCTTTAATTGCAATTATAATAATTCGCAGTCACAGGCGTGTAGGTTAGAGAGTGTTAAACTGTGCAGAATTAGTGTAGGAGGTGGTAACAATTAAATGTATATGTTACTGCATTTATTATCAGATTCATTATTGTTATAATATGGTTGAATGTATATTATACATCAGACATTAGAGTTTAAATGTTAAATACTGGTAATGAATACAAGCATTAAAATAAAAACTACATTCTACACTTTAGCATTTTGGGGACAATATCAAGGCTTTCTTTTAAAAAAATGTCAAAATTCTGGCCAGAATTTCAGACAGTGGAGTAAGTATACAGTATAATTCTATAGATATGAGATTATTGTAGAACAAATGGTGTTTCATCAAGCAGTCAGTGGGTGGCAGTGTGGAACAGATGTAACAGATCATACGGAAAGTCACCAATTAACTTGTCCAGGTAAAGTACTGTATACAGGAGACTGATTACATCATAATTAATGATGAGTCACACTCTGTGGGTACAACTCTGACTCACCCTTTGCTTCACTCCATGCTCCATGGTGATTACCTAACCATGCACACCTGTGCGGTAACTCCTCCCCTCTTTTTTGAACCAGCCCTGCTTCCTGTTATTCTCATAATAATGCCTAATTAAGACTTTTATATGTTTTTATCCTTTATCCTACTACCTACTGCCACCTAGTGTTTTGACCTCTGCCTGAGCTATAGACAAAGATTCTAAAAATAAGTATGTTTGTACTTGTCAAAACCAGTCTGCATTAATGGTACACGAAGGCTTCAGGGAATCTGTAGCTCAGCATCACTCCACTAGAGGGAGCGCTGACAGTCAACACAGTATGCTAATGTTGATGGAGAGCTGTTTCTGCATTAATGCTCTGTGGAACAACATCTGTAAGTGGGCAGATGTAGCTGACAGACTCACACCTGCTCTGCTCTGCTGAGCGGAGCTGAGCTGCCAACAACCAATCAAACTGAGTGTTGCACTAGAACAACTCTACTGTACATCACTGTACAACGAGTGTTGTAATTAGCAGTGACAGGCTAGTTAGCATAAACGAAAATCACTGCTTCTCTGAAACATACAGTACATGTAAGAATAATATATATATGCATACATGAAAAACTGGTTTGTCCTTTTCTTTTCACCTGCTTCTTCTCACCAGGTGGAGTGACCAGTGTGGTGATAGTGACCTAGTAACTATTCTTGTTGTTTTACAACAGCTCATTTGTGGGTTCAATTCCTCAATTCCTGCTTTATATGCTACACCCCTGGCAGCCTTGGTGTCAGTAGGTATGTGACAAAACCTGAGGTGTAAGGCACAATGAATGTCCATCACTACTGGAAAAATGTCAAATAAAACACATTCACCCTTTACCATGTGGAGCTCACCCATTAGAGTGACTCAGTAAGCAGCCGGAAATAAAACTAATATATTATAAAATATCCCTTATTCATCCCACAATGGGGAACAGTTCACAGTGTGAGTCTTTACAGCCCACACCCACTGCCACAGGAGAAACATGGCTCCTCTAGGGCTTGAACCCAGGACCTTCTGCGTGTAAGGGTGACTTGATAACCGCTACTACATTATGGAACCATGATATTAAATCTATCATCAGTTGTCTTCCAATCCCAAACTCACAGGAAACACAGCACTATCACACTCCTCCAATCCTAAATGTTTGATTCAAAACAACATAATCGTTGCTGGTGATTCTGGGTGGAAGTTGTTTCGGAAAGTCCTCTACGTATCAAGTAGAATCTGGCCTGTAACACAACAGCAGAACATACAGTACAAGAAATGACAAGATCCAATCACAACCTTGTATACTCAGAAGCAGAGAGAAACAGATGAGACGGGGAAGGACACACAGATATCAACGTACAGGCTGTACATAATCAAATATTTATCTATGGAATCTATGAGGAACTCCAATTTGGAACGTTGAACACTTGCCAAAGTAGCCCATGTTCCTTTTAAGTCCCCATACAGGAAGAGGAAGTTAAAAGCTGAGCACAGGCAACTGGGGATTATGCTCACTACACACCTCCTATAGATGTCAGCTATAAAAAGCAGGACAACTCTTGCAGGATTAAGCGTTTTGCTTGCCAGAGGACCTGCGTGTCCCTGCAAAAACTGGGACCCTGAGCTGCTCCGTCACACGAGTAATCAAACACAGCAGCTTAGGCTCTGACTCAGCTTTCTGGTTGGTTTGCTTTCAATTTTGTTTGCCAGGAAGTGCACTAGGACCTGTAACAGAGGACAAAAAGAGGATACAGAATGGATACAGTGGTGATTTGTCCCGTGGAGAATGGAATCACAACAAAATACAAACCTGCTCTGTGGAGGAAGTAGTGGACAAACGCTGCATATACAATATGGACTGTCGTAACCTGCGGATAATGTGAACTCTTCCTACCATAATACTATACATTATGCAAAACACGTTTGTACAATATTGTGACCTCTATTTTACATGCACACACAGAGGTGTCAGGTTACATTTACCTGCTTTTTCCCCAGGAGGAGTCACCAGTGGGTCAGACTGTCCCAGTAACAGAGAAGGTGATGGAAGACCTGTTGAACACGACACTTGGATCTCTTAAACTCAAGATAATCAGATGTTGCCATTGGTCAATGTTTCTACAGCCAATTAGGCAAAAAAAGAAAGGAATATCCAGCTGTACAGTTGATATTAATTAACACTGCAGGTACTGCTCTGCTGTTTGGTGCCCAGTTTGGTTCCAAACCACAGGCTCAAGGAATTAATGACTTATTGAATTTATTCATAAACTTTTGTAGGCCTGCAGCCCTTTCTACATCCTAACCAGTTTGAGAACCATCACCTTTTTTATCTCACACACCCCCTAGTGGTAGCTAATTCTGCAATAATACTTTACAGAATATAAAAATGGTTTTATCTTAAAAATTTACCAATACTTGAACCTCTACGAACTGTACAAAAAGGTTTTGTACGGCTACAATGTTTATTTAGGTGGCAGATGTGATTGCCATCATAACTAAATGTTCCAGTGGACAGTAATACTGAATGGCACATGAAGAAGAGGGAGGTGAAGGACAACATGAAGAAACAAGACTAACAATGTCAGACACAGACCAACTGTGGAGGAGTGCTGCAGCTCCACTCTATGGTATTCTGTTTGAGGTTTTTCCAAAAAACCCAACATTTATTTAAGAAGGTTTTCCTCCTGCTTCAGAGCGATGTCTTAAAGTGTTTTCTCAGGAATATTCCTCACCTTCACAGCTGAACAGTCACCAAACAGTGAAATGTTTGATGAGGCCGAGTAAGCGCCACCTAATGGAGCTGAAGGTGCCCGATCCAGATCACACACACATTGTCGGCAGACGCCGTGCACTGAGTAATGGGAGGCATGGGGAAAAGTCACCCAAGGACAATGTCTTCAAACACGTTCAGTGACAGGACAGAGGAGATACGCCCGAGACATTTGATAGTCAGAGGAAAATGGAGAGGTGACAGCGTGGAGGTGTCCAGGCCTGTAAGAGGGGGAAATAAAGACGGTTAAGGATGGAGTAGGACACACAAGGGCACGGCTGCAGACAGACAGGTTGTTCAGCTGTACTTCAGCAGAACAATAGCTGAGAAACTCTCCTAACATATTGTCCAAACAGCTTGTCTTCTCTGATTTACACCTGATCATTAGATAGGGAACAAGGCTAATGAGCAGGTCGAGGACAAGGCAGATATTACCAACTGCTCAGGAGACTCCTGGAAACACAGGCGAGGACACAGCCCTACATGTTATCTCCCAGCAGCCCTTGTCACTGCACTTGAGGGAAGAATGCAGCGGCCACCCAGTGGAAGAGTGGTTGATGCTCCTGCCTTACAAGGGAGAATATCAGGGGTCCGATCCTTGTGGTAATTTTTGGTCAATGGAGCTTCATGAAACAATTAAGCAGATGAGTGAAAAATGAACAGAAATAATTTGTTCTTTTTACAGGTTACTGCTCCATGTGAAGCAAAAATGACTTATTTTCAATGCAACAAGTCGTAACAACAAACAACAATAATAAAAAAAATATATATATATACATGCCGAGTCTTCACTAAACACAAATTTTTACTTTAATCCTGTACATGCATCAGCATTTATTTTTTATTTGTTATGCAGCAGGGTTGATCATTCAATGAGACCTATGATGTTTAAAATATACAGTATAGTTAAACTGTAAACAACTAGATAATTATGTAAAATCCTAAACACTAAGCTGTGTGTAAATGTTTCTGTTCTTTTATTTTAGAAGTCATTGATAATTTATTTTTCTTTACTACACCAATTAAAAGGTTTGTTCCAAGTGACAGTGCAAAACACAAATATGAAAAGGAAAATCAAACGCAGGTTAGATTCAAACTTGGACTTAAGGCATTGTGGGGGGAGGGGGTGTATGAGCAATTTGGAAAAAGAAACGCCATTTTATGATAGAGTGAATACATTTTAAGTGAAACTATATAGAATTATGTCAATAGAAATTAATGATACAATTTTAAGGATGTCCAAACTTGCGTAGAATCTTTAATAGTGACTAAAAGCAGAACTTTATACCTGATTAATTTAAAATAGTTGCAGTGAAATGACTGTTTGACAATACCACTCTGCAAGTAGTATTCTACCAGTCACAACATAAAGGCAGCCGTGTGAATGGTGCAGCTACTGTTATATTAATGACTCCCCCGTCCTTCCCCCCATGACAGCAAGCTTGGCCCAAAAACTGTAAATGCAACCTAGGCCTAATTATGTTAGAGCAAAAATAAAGCAAACATCAATCGTGTTTTCCACAAGTCAAATCAATGGAAAAATCATCTCAGAAAAAAATTAAATAAAAACGTCACTCATATTTACATCACTGTACCAGAGAACTACACAGTTCAGTTCCTCTGTTACAAACAGCTTGAATCACTCCAAAAAAAAAAGGAGTTCAGTTTAATAAATGGACCGAGGAAAGTTCTTCATGGACAATACCGTCTGATCAAACAATGAAGTCAGTGAGCGGCGAACGTGGAAATACTCACCCGATCAATCATTTGCACCTGATTCAAGTGTTTTTATTCTGACCAGTTATTTGCACGTACTTCTTCCGTATTAGTGCAGTGAAAACTGAGAGAAATCTTGGTGCAGGTTGAAGAGAAGTATTTTGCTGCCTCCACAGACAGAAAACGTTGAATCAGAGTTGTGTTTCTAACTGTGGCTCTGAATTTCAACGACTCAGGCCTCCGTGAGAATATGTTGCGTAGTTATCCTCAGGATACAGAGAAAGTTCTTCTCTGCAGCTCAGCCCGTTGTCAAGTTCTGAATAAAAATAAATAAAAAGGTTATAAAATAAAGGCTGGATTAAATTAACTTGTTTTTAACACAGGACAGAACTAATCTCTAACATTGGAAGCTTTCTCTGTGGAGCAAAGAGACAACTGTGACCCCTACACACCCACCAACACACGTGTCATGATTGTAGTTTCACCTGAGAAAATGAGCTTCTCCTTCATGATGTTGACGTCCCGACTGGACCGAGGCACCACGGCACTTAACATAATCTGTTCTGGATTATAGCTCTGCATCTCACTCATCCTCCACCTGTTACAGCAGACACATATACATCGTGTGAACCAAATATGTCAAACACAAGGTCTGTGGAATATTTTATTTTATTAGATGTTCCGACTCAATTTTTTTTTAACTTTTTTAGTTGGTTAATGTTTTAGCGCTGAAGTCTGATTTTGTTGCATATGTATTTAAATGTGTCAACACAACTAGAAACAAGTGGCTTGATGATAAACAAGAGGTAAACAAGTGCAGTAAGAGAGAAGGGCCTTTCAGTGTTGGGGAGGGAAAAGCACATCATGGACGTCAAGGACATAACAAGGAGTCAGAGACAAAGGCCAGGGCAGCGGCAGCAGTTACCTGATCATATGATAGCTGACAGATGCCAGGGGGCAGCAGAGGGGGTTACATGCAGATGAGGCAGAGAGCAAAACAAAAGACCACAGGAAAGTCAGAGTGAGAGACGGCAGCACAAAGAAGAGACAGTGAAACATGCAGGAGACAGAAAAAACTAAAGTAAGAAAAAACAGTTAGTTGGTAATCATTAGACAGAGCACACAGAGACAAACAGATAAAGTACAACCAGACCCAAAGATAAATGAATGTCATTTTTTCATGAATATTGTAAGGCTTAGTTAATATTGGTAAGTTTTTGTGTGAGTTTAGACTTAAAGATAACATGTGAGTAAAACAATTATTTTTTAAAATGTTAGTGAAGCAAACATGGATAGTATATCAGTAGCATCAGATTTTACAAAAAGGAAAAAAGGTGGAAATATAAAGGACATTACACAAATTAAATTATTTGTAGTGTTTCTATTATTTTTTTTTTTTTTAGAGCAGTTCTGATTTTGGGAACTTTTGGGTAACTGTACTGTAGTAAGAATAACTGCAAAAATTACTTACTTCTGGAAACAGAAAATCCCAATGATGATGGCGAGAGAGACTAAATCTGAGGAAATCCAGATGAAGTTGTATGATGTCTGACTCTGCCAATAAACAGAAAACAATTACACGTAGTGCCTAGTGAGCACCACTGGAGGTCAGCATCCTGACACAAGACGCCGACGTCAGCTGTAGTCTGTTGGTCAAGTCCGTGCCCTTGTCTTTTCCCAAGGTTGTGTTGTTGTCTGACGTCACGCTGAGTTCCCTCATATTTCTCTTCATCCCTCCCCTGGAGTCATGCTGGGTCCCCGTCCCCGTCAGTCTCTGTCCTCGCTCTCTTTGTCTTTCAGTGTGACCTTGCATATATACTGTGTGTGCGTGTGTGTACAGTATGTGTGTGTGTTTGTTAGAGACAGGGATGAAAGCTGTTTACCATGAGCCAGATGGGGTAAGGCACCTTTCGTAGGACTTGTGGGGCATCAGAGGACACAGAAGTCACCCCACTACACCACAGGATGGAGTAGAGCCAGGGCTCGTTCACTGGGTAGACGGTTATACTCACATTATTGGACAGATACTCCCTAAAGGAAGAAGGGGTACAGGTGAGAGCTGAAAACTTACATCTTCCTGTTGCTGATTACTTGTATCTACCGTCTCATAACACTTACTGTACATCACTGATCGATTTAATCTCATGGAATATATAATCTAAATCGTTTTGGTCTTGTAGGCTTAACATCAGCAAATGTTTCTCAGGCTTCAACTAACAATAAACAAAAAGAAATTAGATAATATTTAAATGTATTTAGCTGAAGGCTGATCTACAATTGGTATAATTTATAATGTATTTGTTTTTTTATAAAATTATTTTATCCATAGTCCAAAATATAACTTCATAAATTCATATTTCATATAAATTCATATGCAGCTCTTATCAGTGCTCTTACTGTATGTCTCTGTGGTTGGCCTTGCTGTAGTGGAGGGTCAGGCTCGTGATTCCCCTCCGTCTCATCTCTGTCACCGTCAGCTTCTCAGACGTGCTCTGCTGAAGCCCCCGCACCCTCCCTCTGTCAGTGTCGGGGGTCCACGTCACCTGACAGGAACACACAAGATACGGACATACCAGGATCAGATTTTTTTTTAACTTTTTAATAATAATTATGAACTTAAAGGTGCTCCTTGCAGCAATAGAGATGCATAAAAAAACACCATGATGGTTTTTCTGTTTTGGTATTAATTTAGTTAATTAAGTCTAGTTTTAGCCTTAGCTCCACTATGTGAAATAAATGGAGCTGTGAACAACTTCAGTAACTGTTGCTCGTGTTATTGTCTCCACAAAAAGCACCTTTTCTTTTTTAAAGGATAATTAATAAGGGACCTACAGTCCTCACCCGCTTCTGGGAAATCCCAGCCTTCTGCACGGCCCACAGTGTGTCCATGAACCAGCTGCGGGAGCGCGGATGCTCTGGTGGCGGCCTGTGGATATTGAGCAGCGCAGAGCTGTTGGCTTTGGCCACTAGACGCAGCATTTCCATCAGGCTGCAGACTGTCTGGTTGCCTATTCGGTTGCGATCTCTCGTTGTCAGGGTTTCTACTGTCCAGTAGGGGTCAGTCTGTAAAGGCAGAGAGCAACAGTGGCACTTGGACAGCGCTTTCGGAAATCTCAACACATTCTGTCAATAACATTGATAATAAAGTTATATGTTTTGTGTTGTTGTTGGCCAATTAACTACTACGTAATAAAGTAATTCCTCTGTCAATATTTACCCTTTCAACAACAGTCGCCCAATTCTTAAATGAGAAATGACAAAAACTACATAAACAGTAAGTTTTAGGCATCAGGCAAATCTTTGATTACAATACACACACCAGATGACACTGTATGATGTGTGATCTGATGCCATTTCAGAAAAGCATTACATTAACGTGACAATATAAGTGAGTACAGCACCTGCAAAAACCACTGGCCAGCATTTAAGGAGCGGATCTCTGTCCAGTTGAAGAAGCAGGCGTCATCAAACTGCCTGGCTGGAAAGATCTTCCTGACGTTGGTGGTTCTCCTCAGTGTGCGGTCACGCATGAGGAAAGGAACGCCATCCATGCTGGCAGAGACAACGCACAGCACACAGACAGACAGAGTTAATTAAAGAGCTCACATGGATAATTCATAATGAATAAGGCAGATGTGATAAATGAAAACCTGATGGTGACGTCTGCCTCCAGGGAGCTGGCCCCCTGCTGCAGAGCTCTGTTGAAGGACACCAAGGTGTTTTCAGGAGCTAGCTGCAGCAGAGAAGACAGACAGGAGGACAACTGTCAGTCACTGTTTGTGTGGGAGTAGAGCCAACACTCAGTGACAAAGATGGTAGAATAATAATCTGACATATTTATAGAAAAAAATATTTATTGGAATAATGGTGGGGTGAAAGAGTGAAGGTTTAAGCATGAAAATAAAACACAGCAACATCTGAGTGACTGCATACTGGATGTGATCCTACAAAATAAAATTATTATATGCATTCATTTATTTTGTTGTTACAAAGAGTATTTGTAAAGGAAATTAATATAAGTACATTAGGGAGGAATCAAGAATTTTAAATTCAGTGTTTTGTTGACCGTCACTCACTTACAGCCTGACAGTGCTCTCACATGCTGGGAGAATGTTTACCATTTTGCTGTGACAAACATGCTGCCAAGTCCAGCGTCAAGACATGACTGATCAAAAAAAATACATTGACTTATGAACCAAGATGGACGTGAAGTCCACACCTGGCAGGTGGCAGCAGCATCTGTCCTCACACAGCTGCCAAATGTCTTTTCTGCTGCCATCAGACAGCAGAGGCGGACAGAGCACAGCTGTTAACGCCATCAGACAGCAGAGGCGGACAGAGCACCGACTTACCATAGGCGCCCCCCGTCGACCTGTGATGTCTGGCCGAGGTTTGAGGCTGTGTCGGTCCATGATGCAGGGACAGGTGAACGTCAGCGGTGCCAAATAAACAGCCAGGAGGAGGGTGACATAAAGGAGCAGCACCATCATCTGAAAATCTGAGAAGTTTACAAGAAAAAAGATTTAACTAAGCAGCCCCCTGCTGCCCCCAGTTTTCATATGTACAGACTACTTTGAAAACCCAGATGGTTGGGTCTACTTCTTCCAAACAGTGTATCATTTAAAGACACCTTTGTCTGTTTGTTGGCAACAAAATTCTAAACGAAAGGTCATTCTTTTGACACTGTTGGAAGCAAGAGCCCCTAACAGAGAGGAGCACAGTCTTTCATCCATTTTACTCTGTGGACAACAGGGGTCCTTTACTGGAAACAGAAATCATCACTTACTGGATCTGTCTCTGCGGACCACATATCCAGCCATCAACCAGCTAATAGCTGTGACTGTTGCCAGGGCACCGATGTGAAGAAATGGAGCAGTTGACTGGGAACACAGCGGATAAAAAGGAGAGCCAAAAATATTTACACTTGATATTTAGACAGGAAACATAAATATGAGCTTATAAAAAGGCAGATTTCTAACTTTCAATTACAAAGTGCTTGTGATTGAAGTTATATTGATGAATAAATATTAAAATTATTTAGGGCTTCTATTGGGATTCTACACCAACCTGCAGTGACACCAAGAGGATTTCCCACTCATCTCCCCATATATCATCAACAGAGACCACACCAGATATAGTGGTGAGTAAAGTAGCCAACACGCCAATCTGTGAGGAGATCAATTATTAGTATTAGTAATACTGCAATCATCAAGTATTACTTAGATAGCTGATGTTGGCGATGCTGCACCTTATGGATCCAGTAGAGATTCAGCTGTTGACCCAGAGATATGTGGAAAAGCGCTAAAATCTGTAAACAAATAGATAAATACAGAAGATGAAAAGCATTCAAACTAAGTGATCAATAATTAATTCCTTATATATATATATATATATATATATATATCCACACATATCCTTACATATATAAATCAGCTGTCACACAAAACAAAGACTCACCAGCAGAAATGTAATGTAAGTGAAACCCACTGTAGTGGAGGCCAGAATAGGAATGGTCTCGTCCTTCCACTCTCCTGACCGGTTGTATACAGACCTAGGACGGGAGCAGATGATGTCAACCACTTTATATTCTAGGTCATCAGTTAACCAAAGTGGCCCAATGATGGAGCAAACTCACCAGTTGAAGTCATTAAAATCATTTTGAGCGACCAGCCAGAAGTAGGCCCAGAAGAGAAGCAGAAGGAACGAAGTACACAAGATGACGAACCATGTACACTCCCACTGGGGAGAAGAACACAGACAACCATGTGATCACAACTAGGCAAGAGTGAAGGGGGGTTAGGGTTAGGGCTCTCATACTGAATGCACAAGGTGAAAAGGTTGCTACTCTGGTGTTGCCAACAGCTGCCTATTCTTTATTTTGTCTATACCAGCTAGAGCTGAGTTTAATTGTAAACTGAATTAAGCATGATTAATAAAACCACTGAATACCATTTAACAATGTTAAAACAACATTAGCTATTAACTGCATTAACTAAAAAAGATGAAGCAATAAAATCATTGAAGAATCATAATAAATCTGTCAACTCTTGTTCCCGACGGTGGAAAGGACCGTCATCTGACTAGAAATATGGGCCAAAGGTATGGTGGAAAGCATGTAGCACTCAAGGACACTTCCTTCAGTAGTTAACAGGATTAGCAGCTAATGCCGTGCGAGGTAAGGTGTAGAATACATGATGGGTCAGTCCGGGGATCCTGCTGAGCACTGATCAGCTTTGCAACTCAGTGTTTCTGGTTATATAAAAGGATGGAAGATAATTAGGGAGGTGTGTGTGTGTGTAAAGAGCAAAACTGTCTGCACTGATCTGATGAAGCGTTAAAGTCACTGCTGTACAGTTTGGTAAAAGTCTCACTAATTAGTAAATAAAAGATTAAAAATCTCTCGCTGATGATGATGAAACATCCATAATACTGCAGTATTGTTTGCTGTGTTACATGTACATTATGAGACATTAATTTAGCGTAACACTGGTACTGGCTCCAATGAAGAAAAAAGCCACAAGCTTGATTGAACAGATTACCCCAACCGTAGTTGGCAGTTCATCTCAATGCGTTGACAGGTATTAGGGGAGTGGTCATTAGTAAATCAAGTGTAACACACGACAAGCTGGCACACGTGGGTGTTCAGCAATCTCCATGGTTGCTTCGATCCCGAAGACCCCACAGAACTGGCCTCTATGGTAGAACTGTGACAGTAAAATGAGCCGCTGTGCTGTGAACAGACAGCGTTTTATATTTCACCGCATTAAAGAATAGCAGAGAGAGAGAGAGAGAGAGAGAGAGAGAGAGAGAGAGTGGTGGTTGTGTGCTGGTGTTTTACCATCAGTGCCTGATTTACACATCGGCCACTGACGGCTCTTTATGATCAGGTCTGCAGTGGCAGTAGCTGTTTCTGTCCAGTGGCATGGACACAGAACACAGCTGGGTGTCTGGACTGGGTTTATACATACAGACACTGAGCTTATTCTGTGGCTTGTTTTTAGAAGAAGAAGAAGAAGCTGTCCTCGTTTACCCAGGCCAGGGCAAGAAGCGAGATCAACATCAACACACTGTTGAGTTTGTTTGGAAAAGCCTTCATTTCTAAGCCATTAGACTTTAATGAATTTAAATTATTTCAATACCTTGGATATAATGGTGATGCAACAAAACAGTTGTTCTACTTTACAGTGTACATACACCTCATCTAGAGATAAAGTATTTCACTGACTTAATGCTATTTGTATTTGTGTAGAGTCTTTCAAATATGAATTAAAAGTGAAACGAGGACAAGTACTTTTTTTTCTGTCTATAAAACCTGAAAAATACTAATAATATAAAAACCTAGTAGTTTATGTACTGTAAGCTAACCTGAAAAAATAATATTGACCATGGGTTTTGGTAATAATAAAAAATAGTTAAATAAAAGAAAACGGTTACATGGCATTACACCCTCACTCACCGGCTTTAAGCTTTTGTTGAGATGTTGACTTACTAGTTTAACTGATGTTATTTACTTTTCTTTATTTTCATTGATGTTTCTTGTTTACTTGTTATAGTCTACTTTTTTCTACGTTTTGTCCTAAGGATCTGAACAATCATTTGACTATAAGGTGACAACTTTACAGATAAAAAAACAGCATTAACATGTTGTGCCGAGTAATCAAAGGTGTTATCTCACCCTGGAGCTGTCGTCTTGTGAACGCTGGTAGCGTTTCCAGCGGCAACCATAGATCCCAGTGACAAAGGACACAAAGACCTGCTTCTCATAGACCTGTAAGGGTTGGTGTTTCACCATGCTCCTTCAGTCTCGACGCACAGCCAGTCTGCTAACATCCCATACAGGACTGGGAACCCTGCAGACAGCGGTGAAGTGTTAGAAGAGTTTCTCTGCCGGTACATTGCAATTACTTCTCTGAATAACATGCCAAGTCACGTCATGTTGCTGAGGTGTTTTCACAAAACACAGTGAATGTTCCAGCAGCCCTGGGCCTTGTTTAGAGTAACAACAAGTGGTGGTGGAGGAAGACAACATGCTTGTCAATAGTGACTCACGTCTAGGACACAGACATAATTATATGCTGCGCAGCCTCAAGATCTGCTCTCAACTGTCTAACCAATTACATAAGGAGGAAACTGGGGAAGCGGTATTGTTATCACATATTTTATATGTTTTATTGTACACAGTTAATGGATGTAAATGTTACCTGAATTAATGAATTGTGCTACATGTGTTATTTTTTTGACCTACTGTAACACTGGCCCATTCATTTACAGCTGGATTTCAGATTCTACCTATTCATCGACTGTGCAGCTTGACAACACTCCTAGGATTGAATGGATTCCCAGGATTTTTAGAGAAAATGGTTTTACTTGTTTTCTACACCCAAAAACACATTTTAAATAGGTTGTGTATCCAGTTCTTACCTATGGATATCTAGATAGATCACGCCAAGAACAGAAATAGATGTACAGTAAAAGGCTCAGGCCTAATGGAAACAATGGGTAGTTGCACCATTTTATCCCACAATCAGTTAATAACATAGTGAAATATTCAATAACTTCACCAAAGTTCAATTACACACAGAAGCACCATTGTATACCATCAAAAGCACAGAAAACCCAATAAGGCAAATACAGGTTAATGACAAAAAGGTTCCTGGTTAATAATTCCCAACTAAACAAACACATCATGACAAAGGGACAGGTCCAAATTACTGTGTTAAATTTTACATATGCCATCAATCAAAACTCTTAAACCATGATCATATAAACAAATAACTATCTTAGTTAATCTGGGAATTATAATGAGAAGGTTCAGTGCTAACCCTAAATCTCTTCAAAAGTTATTATTAGCAGTTTTTATTTTCTATTTTCTTTCATTTATTTCGAATTACGTTTTAGATTGGCAAAAACAAAATGAAAATCAGAGGCCCTGGAGAACACCCCCACGCAAGGGAGGCAACGAGAGTTTTTCAAATGAGGAAATTGTTAAGTGTTCATCTTGCAGGTCTCATCCGTGACTGTTGACTGTTGGTAACAGTCACACCAGGAACTCCCCGGCCTGGACTGTTGACAACAGTCACACCAGGAACTCCCCGGCCTGAAGGAGTCTCTCCTGCATTTACAGAGCTTGGCAGATTCCCAGAATTGACATCCTGACCTGTCTTCAAACAAAGACCAAAGGGAGTTGAAGTCACAGACTGGAAGTGATGCAAGGTTCCTCTGTTGTCTCTCTGTACTTCGACCATGATGCTCAGGAAGTCTAGGATTTGGATGATTTTATGTTTGAGAATTCATTTAATGTCTGGTTGGATTTCTACTCAACACCTAGAGAAAACTCAACTCAATGACTTCAGGGAGACTAACAGAAAATTTGGTTTATCATCATTGGCACTTAGTACTCAGAAAGTCTGTTCGCTTTTATTTATCACGTACATACACTATAACATATTTACTTCACTGGACACTGATATAGGGAGAGTGAGAAGACACTAAATACCCTGTGTAATTAGTTACATGCAAAAGTAAAGTAGACAAGTTGATAAGTATATTGCTAAACTGGTTGCAATAAAAAATAAATCTCAGTAGACAAGAGTCTGTAGCAAAAGGACCACAAGAATCAAGTATATCCTAAGGACTGGAGCGGAGCTCAACTGACTGAAGTCTTTTGTAAAAATGATGATTTCATCTGCCGTGAAGCACAGTAGGTAATAGGGCACATACGTTGACACCTGGGGTGCTCTACCCACACATTTGACACATCTGTTTCTTTCTCCATTCTGCTGGCTTTTCTTCAACCTTCTATTCAGCTGGGCTTCAGGACTGAACTCTTTCATAATCTTGACATTTGTCTGGGAAGACTTCATTACTCTACCTAACTCCCAGTCAGCCATCATGAGAAGAAACCTGGTTTGTGCTGCCAAGCTAATGAGGCTGCAGACCCCTCCCTGAGCGGGAGCTATTTGTGGAGCTTGAATTATATGCTCATTGAATAATAATAGAGTAATCCATTAAGTATCGTCCAAGCGACTAACTTCTCCAGACCCTGCATGATCTTAACTCTATTATTATCCTTTTTCTCACTCATTCTGACCTCATTCCATATTTTAATTCTTTATAAAAATTTATATTTGCATGAATTTTTTATATCCCTAATCATTCAACGGATCACTCCAGAAATAGAACTTTTTGCATGTTCACTGTCCTCACAGAGGGTGAGGTATGAGACTGAGAACATATGAATAACTAAATATTAATAGTTTGGACCCAAACATCTTCATTCAATGTGGCCTTCAGAGAAAACATAGTCAAACTGACATTGTTCAGTGCACAACTGTTAAAGAACTCAACTGGCAAATTAGACGACCTCTAGTTTCAACCTGGGCCTCTTAAATACTAGTACTATGTAACGTAACTGTTTATTTCTAGATGCTAATGTAGCTCAAGTGTTTCCCTTGGCTATATTCTTGACTATACAGTATTTTCTTTTAAACTATTTGTTTTTGCATTGAATGTCAAATAGACTAATTGATTTAGATAAACAACAATGTGCCTGTATGCTGTACAAATAGACCAGGTTTGTGTGTGTACTGTAATGCTGCATTCCAGAACACTGGGATCTGTGACTGATTCCACCTGGAGTGTTCCAGGTGCACATTCAGAATGTGTTTAAGGTGAACAAAATTCAACAAGAATTTAAAAACAGGGTGAGACAATCCTGTCTTTTCTTGTGCATAAATGAAACAAAGGAAATGGCAGATGAGGTATGAAACACTTTTCGTTGGCTCCTGTATTGTATGTTTCTAATTATTGTGTATTACATTTCTATTTTCCATGAGCACTGCTGTTGTTCTGTGACACAGAGTTGCTACGTATCAGTAAATCAGGGCAGTTCAATTTAACCTGACTTCTCAGACATCTGAAACTTGTCTTCCAAGTTTTCTTTGTTGCATATTTCTTCTTAAAATATGTATGAATAAAAACACAAGTAAACATTTAATCACAGTGACTTTAAAATTATTATAATTTGAATGCAACATTTGAATTCTTACCAAAATACATTAAAATGTTTTAAATCGGGCAAATGTAGAAAAGGAATAATTATTGATGGATTACTTCTGTCCCAGTGCTTATTCAATAATTTAAAGACACCTACTTATTTGCATCTTTCTCTACCATTTAATTTCACAAACAATTCAGTCACAATGTGCAGATAGTGTCCAAACACCGTGCTCCTGGTGAAAACTTTTCAGAGTTTCAGAGACACATACATTCTTACAAACTGATTTTAAAAAAAAAGTCCAGTAACATGTGACAGTCCCCTGGATTAGGATTGATAAGCATGATCAGATAAACACTTACCTCCACCGCACACTGTTTAATCCCACTCTGAACACGTCCCACTCGGAGGTCACTGAGATATTTCTCCCGTTATCAACATGCTTCATGGATGCATGTGGCAGGTGTGTGGAGTTCCTCTCAACTACGGCGACAAGAAACCTGAAGCGCACATCAGCCAACTGTGGGAGAGAAGACGAACTTTTAACACAGCGCACGAAAAGCTGCAAAAAGTGTGACATAAAATAAACTCCGCAACTCCGAGAGCCTGAAAACAACGCAGAACATCAGCGCTTGTGAAGCGACGGAGTTAGAAAAGTAATCCGTCCATCACTGTGTGGGTGGAGCTGTGAAACACACTGCAAAAGGAGTTGTTGTTTTTAAACTCCCCACAGCAGCAACCAGTGTGTGGCTACTTAGTGTTTTTTACAGCGTGGACTCAGGTAGAAGAACATGGGCTGCAGCTGTGTTGATTCTGAAATGATGCTGTTTCTCTGAATACAATCAGAAATGTTGTCATTTTATTACTCGTTAACGTCTTTAAATCTGTTAATAAAATGACATTAATATAAGTCACCAATATGACGACCAAAGATGTTGACAATGGGACATTATAAGGGCCATGAACAGAAACCACAGTAGAGTTACTCCTGTGGTTCCTAAGCTCAGGTTGGACCTTGACTAGTTCTGCTGAACATCATCTGTGAAGTACGTTTTAACTGGTGCCTGTTCTGGAATGTAAAAATGAAAAATGTCTTTCAGGGCACTATTTCTGTTTGCAATAAAGATACGTGACCATATTTGGCAATACTGCTTAATATCTCAGCATAAATATGCTGAAAGTGATGAGGAAGATGGAGAGAGGTGATGACATCACTGGGGTCATTAGAGAGCTGTAGATCTCTGGTCCTGGTGCTTAACAGTGATATTTTTAGACCATTGACAAAGACATTAGACAGACAATACACCTTTTAGAGAAATGTTTTGCTGCTCAGACAACTGTTACCAAGGGATATTCAGTGGGCTGTGTTAGGCATGTTGCAGGTTCAGAGTTTGGGTGGAGATGTCCAAAGGCAGAGATCAAAAAAGGTTAAAGCAGTAAAAGAGACATTTAATTAAATCTCCCA